GAACAGCCGGAATTAATCGTTTTGATGTGACTCCCTTTCTCCCTTGCAGACAGCTATGGAAACATTGAACCTGCCCTGGAGCCAGTGTGGGCTCTGGCTGTTGCTGGCAGCAGTTACATAATGTGGGGGAAGTCAACGGAGAACGTGGGCTACTCCATGGCACAAGTCAAGTCTGCGAGGCAGTGGGTAAGCGAAGCGGAAAGTACCTGTCTGCGTTCCAGGGTCTGAGCAGACTCTGAACCTCAACAGCACAACTTGTGTTGCTCACTTCTTGCTCTTTGATGCATCTCCAGATAAGGAGAGATGACTTTATCGAGTTCGACTACACTGTCCTGCTCCATGAAATCCCAACGCAGGTAAGGAAGCACATGAGTAACACCGACTTTCACCAACAGAGAACCAGTAGAAAGATCATCAAAGATGTGTATTTTTAACTCTGTTCTCCAGGAAATTATTTCATGCCACATGCGCCTCACTTGGCTTCCTGGTCATCACTCTCTGAAAGTGAAATACTTCTGTGCTTCAGAGAACGACGCGTTCGAAGACGGATCTGGAACAGAGTCCGGATCAGCCGCTGGGACTTCACATGAAAGGGGAGCAAATTTTTAAAGGAGATTGTCAGCTTTATGCCTGTGTATTAAATGAGAAAATCCTTGTGTTAACAGACCTGGAGTTGTGGTAATTTTTCTATCAAGTTGCACGACAGTGAATTTGAACGCTTTCACCAGTCTGTTTGCTTCCAAAATTAATTCCTCTCGTTTCTTCCACTGCGAGACTCACATGTTCTGGAGTTCTACCTAAAAACTCCGCTACTCCATCTGTGCACAGATAAACATACACAAGTTGATTCTCTGTCACTAACTTACCTTTACTTAGAGTGACTTAGTTTGAAAACAAAGTTAATATATTCGGATAAAAATCTTGACAAAAGTATTAACCTGTCACTAAGGAAGATTTATCTACTGATTTTTTTTTATTATTTTCGAGGATAGATACATGCTGATTTTTAACTTACATCTCCAGTAAAACGAATGCAAGGTCGAGGTTGGGTTTTCTTTCACGATGCTGCTGTTTGACCCCAACTTTCCATCTTCTCCCAGCGTCTGGCCTTTAGAAGGACGTGGACGAGTGTAGGCAGCGGAATTCCTCCCCGCAAGGCCCAGCCGAAGCCGGTATCCCGCGCGGCCCTAGTCCTGCCGCTGCTCTGCCATTCCCTGCAGTGTGAGGTTACGTAAAAATAAGTTTTTCTCTCCTACTTTTGAGGGCAACTCAGACATCAGATGTAAGGAGAACATGTCTTGCTGTGTCCCACACCTGTCCCCAGCCCGGAACAGCGCGAGGCGGTGTCTGTCAGGCAGACACCAAGGATGTCGTCTGTCTGTGTGCAGCTCTTGCTGGTACCTCTGATGACAACAGACCTGCCCAGGCTCAGCACAGCAGAATTTCCACACCTGGGTTTGGTGGGGGCACTGCCCTCTGCCACAACACCCATCAAACAGCTCTCCCTGGTGGGGGCACTGCCCTCTGCCACAACACCCCATCAAACAGCTCTCCCATGCCTTGTACCCATCCTAAACTCAACAAGGTCCTACCACAAGAACATGTTTTTGTCCTTCCGCACCAAATTCTCCGTTTGGCCTTCAGCAGACCCACTGTCCTGCCTCTGTTCTCGGAGATTGTGCCAAACTGTCTCGAGTTTGCCCTTTTTTTTTTTTGTTGTCCTCATTAGCAATATTTCTGCCAGGTTAAATTAACTCTGTCTCAACAAGTACCTTCCTTAGGAAAACAGGCGACGGGCTCTGCCTCCCGGGACGGTTGCGTTCCTCACAACTCTGGTATGCTGTGCTGTCATTGATCTGTGATCGGTCACGACAACTGAGGTATTGAACACGAAAGCTTTGTCTGGGGGATCTGTTACCCCCAAATTCAGGCATTTTACACAGTGTATCAGTCTGACGTACCTTTACTGACCGAAGCTTTTTATATCAGCACGTAACAGGCACTACAATAAATCCAGTGACGCAGCATTTCACATACTCTTTGTGTTTTCTTTTGTGTTGGCAAAACATTCCCTCGAAAGCATGAAAACAAAGTTAAGAATGGCAACATTTCTTAAAGAAATTGGTGACAAAAGTATTTTTTTATCATTAAAACCAGAAAACGGTACGGGTTTTGCACTTTGGGGGTCTACTTCAGCAATGCACTTACAATTTAGTTTCCTCACCTTGTTTTTGTCACTGCTGGGCAGACCTGGAGCAGAAGATCAGGCACTTCCAACTTCCCAGATCAGGGTAACTTTGGTTACTGATGAGCAGTAACTGCATAGTAACTTCTGGACAAGTACCAAACCTGTTGAAATCCACAGGCAGAATTTCCACCAGCTTCTTTAGGGCCAGGATTTGAGACAGTGGATCCGAACCTAAAATCACACAGTTTTTACTGAAGCAAAACTCTTGGTTACGTCGATGCAGCCACTGAACCCAGCGGAGGCTCAGCCCAGTCCACAGTGAACCCTTCACCCTACAAGACACATGTGCAGAGCCTTCTGCAAGGTTTTGTAGAGTCCAGAGAACCGTTCTCTTCCATCTTTGGTGCTAGGAGTTACACCAAGCCAGACATACCATGAGCGCTGTCTAAAATGTGATTAAAAGAAAGAAAAAACCCTTCAGGCATCAAGAAACAAAATCCAGGGTGCCCCAAAACGAGCATCTTGCTGGTGCTTCTTCCACTCTCCCCCACCACCCACCAGCCTCGCCCTGCCCACCGACTCTCCCTGGTGCTGGAGTTCCACCGTGGTGCCCCCGCGCTGCGCTTCCCGAGGCCGTGCCGGCCCTGGGTCCGTGGAGAACCAGCACGTTCAGCCAGGAATTCACAGCGTGACCAGCCTCTAACAAGCAAAATACAAGCCATACATATAAATAAAATCATAAATAAAATCATAAATATAAATAAAATCATAACCACCCCGTCTATTTCTCGCGTTCAGGCAGCTTTTATAAGACATCTGTGAATTTTGGTCTGTATTTGCTTGTTCAAGAAATCTCCAGATGTCGGAGAACCTGCAGGGCTCTTCTTGAAACGAGTTCCAGCTGAGTGTTTTCTCCAAAATAAAGCTCTGAAAGGAAGGGGATCGAGAAGGATTCAGCCCAAAGCAACACCAGACCCACACACAACATTGTGCCAGTGCTTAGTCAGCATTTTCGTGCCTCCGACAAATCTCTGACTTTGCACTTCTTTCAACGTTAAAATAAATAATTTTCACTGGCTTTCCGTGAAAGCTGAGGAAAAAAAAGCCCAGCGGCTGCAGCTCTGTCTGTGTCTGGTAAACATCAACCCCAACCCTGTGCCAGGAATGAAGCTGGTTTTGAACTGGAATGAACTTCTCTGTTTACTGGAAGTCTGCAAAAACGCCGTTGAGCTGAGTAGGTCAGGAAGCAAGAGAGTGCACAGAAAATCAGCGTGGATCTTCTGGTCGTAATTAAAAAAAAATATTGATGATAATTCCTTCTCTTTCTCACCAAACCGTAGCAGCCCTGTTCTCTCTCTCTCTCCTACGAGCGAGCGGGATGTATTCAACCGATTCCCAAGCGAAGCATCATCAGCAACGCAACACGCCCTCTCGACTGCAAGATTCTGGGAAAAGGACTCTTTGGTTTGGTTTCCTAACAAAAAGCCAGGAAAGCGAGCCCGTAAAATAAATCCGTGTTGTTGGCAGCTTTGGAAAGAGTTGACTTCTCCATATATCAGTGCCAACTCTTTCCAAATGCCTTGCACCACCAGCGAAGAGCAGCTGTGGTGGCAGACCAGCTGCACAGGTGACAGATGACTCTGCCCAGTTCCTTAGGAGCTGGGAGGCTCCTCGCAGTGTTTCTGAAGGAAAGGAGGGAAGATGGACATTCCTTCTCCGGACTGCATGCTCTAAACACACTGCAGGAGCTGAAGGATCTGTGCTTGGAGCACCAAAAATGCTGGCAAAAATGCTCACAACTGGGTAACAACTCACCCCCGTGCCTCTCCAGTTCAGATTTGGTTTAGTCTCCCAACCCCAAGTCTTTCAAACCCAGAGAAACAGTGACTGGCCTAATAACAAAATGATGATCTATCAAGTAAAAAAATAAAATTGTTTTAATGCAAATGGATTAAGACAAATTTCAAGACAAATTATCATCAGTGTTTTAACATTTATATATTTTGTTAACGAGCAGCGTTTACACGTGAACATTCTCGTTGTAATCTCCTGGTGGCTTCTGAGAACACCACGAAGGAAGGATATCATGATGAAATTACGAGCCCAAGTCCCGCTGCAGCCGGCACTCATCCAGCCTTGATTGCTTCCAACGCTCGGACAACCCAGCTTTCACAGGGAATTGTGAAAAACTGTGCAAAGTACTCAAAGAGGAGACAAAAAAAGTCAGCTCTTGGCTTTGCCCTTTTTTGCAGGAAGTCGTCCTGTTGCTTCAAGGTGTTTGTTAATTACTTCTTCCTGAGTGCTGGGCGAACACGGCTGGTATCTACAGTATTCCATCGTATATTCCCCCTTTCCCTGGGGAATGGGAAAAAGAAGAGTCCCAGTGAGGATGCTAAAGGTGCCATTTTGCACACAACAGACCCACTCACCCGACCAAAACGCACCCAGTGAGCGTGCAGCTCCAGGCGTGGAGATTATTTAAAAAGGAAAACTCAACAGCGTGAGCTGCTGTCAAAAACCTCGTCTGCTCGCAGATGTTTATAACCTGAGGGCTACTCCTAAACTTCTCCAGCCTGGGAATTCAACACCTTCATGGATACCCACCACTTTGTATCTCTTCCTCAAAGTATGAAAGAATTCTTTAGCCAGAAACACCACCGCTAACAAGAGCTACGTTAATTAAAAAGCAGTTCAAGTGACAGTAAAAACTCCAAGGTTATTTTCCTACTCTGCATTTGTTCTGGTTTTTGTTGCTTTTACTGCTACACGTTATGCATATGAAGATGCAAATTATCACGATTTACAGAAATAAATATGTTCTAGCAAAAAGCACCGAGAGCGCGTACCTCTGTGCAAGACCTCAGCTCCGTGGCATATCCAAACATGTCGTTCAGTGGCACCTAAAATCCAAGCACACTATTCTTGTAAAAACAAGGTGCTTTTCCATCAACTTGGAGTTTTCTTCCAATTAATCTCGATTAATCTCAGTTAATCTCAATTAATCAGTTTTCTTCCAATTAATCTTTACAATAAAAGATTGTATGAAGAAAAAATCTGGTGCTTTTAGTAAACAGTACTGATCTAATAATCTATTTTTGTAAAGTTCCTCTTATTTCAACTAATTTACATTCACAATGTGTTTTCAGCAGTCCCAAAAATCTCAGCGTTTGAACGCGCCAGGTACCGGAACATCCCAAATTCAGTAAACTGCGTCACCGGGCAACGGATCATCACGTCTGAAATATCTCAGGACCACAGATCTGAACACAGTTCACGAAGCAGGAGCGACGCAGCGCGTGGTTTGCCATCAGCTAGAGCTCTGCTGAGATGATTGACCCTCCTGCCGCCACCACATGTACGTTTCCGTGGCAACAACCACGTTTTTAGAAGGGATGTAAAAGAGGGAACGTGGCAGACGAGT